TACGCGGACACACAAGTCCGCTCCCAATGCCGGGGCTTGCCCCCGAGGCGGAACAAAGAGCGCGTTGGAGATCAACCAGTGGCAACAGCTACCCGAGACAGCTCCTCCGGGTTTTGTACACAATAAATCCTCCTCCGGGTGGATTCCAGAATTATGCCCTTCTTATTGTGTTCTTCTTGGGGATTTCAACAGGGCGTAATTCGACGGTGACACACATCAGATGTCATTGTTATAACACTAACGACGCAGACATCGTCGTTATAACAGAGTGGATTGTCTATCTGATGAAATCCAAGGATTTTTACAAGAAAATCCACCTTACGCAAAATCAGCTTAAGCCGCGGCCCCTAAAGTCTTACGGTAGTAAGGTAAAAAACGTAAGAAAAAAGATATGTCGTGGGTTATCATGTAATATTACCTTTTCGGAAAATTCCGAAAAAGCGGAAAATTGGGGGTCCTGAGTAAAACTAAATTTTAAATGTAGATAAGGTCTGTTCATGAAAAAGACGTGTGAATAAGGCAGCGCAAGTATAATTACGCTTAAAAATAATCTTTTTGTGAAATTTTCCTATTCATATGCTCCTATATCGCACTCAATGTAAAGTACGGCTGTTACCGAACAGCCCAAAATTCCAGTTTGCAATAGATGTTTTTTATAATAATTTGCAGTTGTTTCTATATTCCTGTAGTCTTTGAGATACGTTGGACTAAGGCAACCAGTTTATCACTTGATTTTGCCGATTGGGACGTCACATGAGCAAGGTATTTCGTAAGCTGACATGTGGGCATGTCGGTCGTTGACTAATAAATTTAAATTAATTCGTTGAGAGAAATTTCGTTCTATCACATTTCTTTGCAATTATTTAGAGCTTCAGATTTTTCTTGAAATTCTGCTAAACACTTTACGAATTTCAGTGCTTTTCTTCGTGTTCATCAAGAACTTCAAAATAAGACATTTCTTAAAAGCATTTACTTAAATAAGGAGTTCTTAAACACCTTATGCAGCTGTCTGCTTGGGTCATGGTTTTAGAATAACTCAAACATGTCAACTCCTTGCCGAGAAAAATGAAAGTCAACAGCAAAAATCGCGAATGAGTATACCTAACATTAATTTTTTTAAACTTTCTATAACAAGTTATAGATATTTCGGCCTCGAATATCTGCGCATTTACCTTTTTTGAAGGTTAAAGCTAGAAAAAAAAGGAAATTTCGACCAGATTTTTATTTCCCTCAAAATTAGGGATACGTCTTCTGCTGAAAATGAAAGAAGTGGCTTTTCTAATTATACCAGAGCAGTTTTCAGTATATTTGTTTACTTCTAGACTCAGTTCTAAGAGAATAAAAGCAGAACAGAATGGCAGAATATTAACGAAGATTTTTGAGAAAACTAATAATCTTCTGTCCGTTTCGTTTCAAGCTTTTCTCTTCGAGTGTTCTGCTCTGTAGATAGAAAATGTTTGGACACCTTTTGCCTGCGTTTTGACAGAGAAAATTGACGGCATGTCTCGGGTGTTTCTATATAGGCTTGTTTACGGTGGTTATTTTCGGTGGGGCAACACAAATTACAGCCTTACTGGTTTATTACTTAATTTTATAGCACAAAACTTAGCAGTTTTGCAAGATATAACTTTTAAACTTAATTCGCTCTTCTTTTCCTGACAATAATGCATTATCTAATAATTGCACTTACCTCAATTTCAGGAAAGCAAAATAAAATTGCCTGCTCTCTGAACAAATATAATTAATGTCTCTAGTCTTTATTAATGTTCTTTTATAATACAGCACGCACAAATAAGAAGTTTTTTTCCACAGCGTTTAATAACGTAGGAAATCCCTTGGATATCAACAAACTTTGGATTTGACCCAATTCCGCCCCAATTTGCCCCCAGTATACTGAGTTGAACTGAATTCTTTTCTGGTAAACAGCAGTTTGCGCCTGAAGTCAACTTAGTGAACAAAGAAAACCTCCAATGTGTATTAAATCCCCCACTAAACTGTTGATCATCACATTTCATCAGATATGCAAGCTACTTTAGTAGTAGTAGTAGTAGTAGTAGTAGTAGTAGTAGTAGTAGTAGTAGT